TATCTATCTATCTATCTATCTATCTATCTATCTATCTATCTATCTATCTATCTATCTATCTATCTATCTATCTATCTATCATTAAAATAGCAATCTTAGTACTAAACAGAGATGGCATTTATTGGTCCCAGAATAACCATGACAATTATAATTAAAATACATAATCTATCATAAAACTAATTCATTTAATATAAAATATGCCGACCATAAAAGAATAAAACCTTGAGTAATGCTTATGCTGAACCACAAACCAGAATAAAGTCTATGATTATTAAACAAATAAAGTCCGACTAGAGGACGACCAGAAAAGAACGAATACTAGAAAACAAGCGATGTGGTTCATTTAGGGGCTATCAAAGAATATCACGCCCTCGATTATCCCGCCCTTGATTAGAGTACATAAAGAACAATTAAACAGAGCGCCTAGACCCTCTCCCCTTCCCTATGTCGGACCTCGGGTACTTGTCTCTCGGCTCTCTGTTCCTACTTCTGCTCTTGCTGCTGTGCTCCGTTTTCCTGCTGCCATCTTCCCAGCTGTTCCTTCTTTTAGCCGTCCCCCGGTATAGCCGGTTCTGGGCTGGCTCAGCTCTCTCCTCGACCAAGAAAAAGTGAGCAAACTCGTCGGGATGAGCATCATATAGCGATTTACGGAGAACCGGATCCTTTGTCTCATGAACAACACTGGAGTGACCTATCAGATCACACTTTGCACAAGTAGAGAGTTTGTCCTCACATCTGTCATATGGATGCTTGTCCCCTCCACAGCCTTTGCACTTGACTCTAACTTTGCACTTATTGGCAAGATGCCCCTCCTCCCGGCAATAATAACACACTTTAGACTCCTTACTTGAAGATGTTGTTGTTTCAGTGCGGATGGAAGGTTCCTGCTGGAGCAACAGATCCAGTTTTTGCTCCATTCTGGCTAGGAGAGCCTCGCTGGCTTGAGCCTGTCTACGGAGCTCACGCTTCATCTTCAGCACCACTACATCTGAGACTCTGTCCACAAGATGCTCAGAGTTTACCCGTATCTCTATAGGAGGAGGGATAAGGGCGGGAGTATCATCTTCCTTAGCGGTGTCGTCCATGTCAAGCAACTCTTGCTCAAAATCCATTAGTTCATCTTCAGACACCTCCTTACGATCGTCTTGCTCCTCCTCGGTTTGTGAGGACAGCGCTCTGAGCAGATTCAACCTGGATAGTGAGATTATAGTTTGGTCATAATAAATAGGAAACAATTTAACCATGAGCACTATCCCTTTTCCCCAGTAAGATCTAGATCAATTGACCTATTTACTAATTTGTTCTGGGACAAGTTCATAGGGATCAACTAAACCATTGATCCATATATTCCCTTTTTGTGTTTCCTGTTCCCAGTCAATCAATTCATCAACCGATGGCAAATCCAATAAACCACCGTTAAGTTATGAGGACGACCCAGAGATCAACTAAACCATTGAACTGATTGTCCCCTGTTAGCTATGTGGAGATCAACTAAACCATTGATCTCCTTGTTCGACTAACCATTGAAAGACGGGTTCCACTTTAACTTCATGAAGATCCCATATTCCCTCGGACCAATCAAACAATTAATTTTAATCAACTAACCCATTGATCTCCTTGTTCAATTAAACCATTGGATAGTCCGTTCCGTTTTACTTCGTGGAACACAACTAAACCATTGATCCCCTTGTTCTCTATGCCCTGACCATCAAATAATCCCATGAAGAAATATTAAACTGGGCCTCGAAGGAGCCATCGCCCCCAAATATAAATTATAGCTGGCAAATGTAGATCTATATATATATACCTTGCCGGGGTTGGCCGAAGACCGCTCTCAACCAGCGCCTCCTCCTCACCCTTGAGCTCCGCTAATCGTCTTTTAAGTTGAGCTCCCATCATGGCCTCCTGCACTAGCCCAAGCTGAACTAGGTCATGGACCACCTCACAAACCTCTTTGTGCTTCTTGGGGAGCTCAAGATTTGACGTATCCAACTTCTGAGCCAGCAGCATTTGCGCAGCGTCCTGTTTGAAAGTGTTCAAATCCGTCACCGTCTTCTTTGCCAGAAAGGTTAAGTTCGCTTTCTCCACTATCGTTTTCAGTAGGGTGAAGCACGTAGTTTGACCTATTACCCAGAACATGGCCGCAATAGACTTATCAGACTTTTTAATCACCAGCACGAAGTACGCAACCATAGTTAGTATCCTAGCTTCCGATGAACAACACTAGCCCCTCCCTCCATTGGATTCTGTTATTGTAAACTGTTCCGGAAGTGACGCAAGTCCTTTTATATAGTTAGGTTCTAGTTAGGATGACTTACAGTTTGTTCATTACATGAAGCTCAGTCTCACAGCGCTATATGATAATTTTATACACCAAGGTTCAATATGGTAAAATTAGTTGGCTGACCAAAAAAAGTATCCAAACCCATCCTAAAAGTAAGGTGTGACACTTTATTTAAACCAGAATCACGTCCTTTCCAGCTGGGTTCTCCTAGGCGTGCCTTACTGTTGGACATAAAGTTATCCCCTATAATGCTCCGTTTGTTATATTTAACATTTAGGTGATGATATGTTATCGTCCCATTTCGCCCATTGCTAACATATTAGGTCATATGTCAGGCTATTATTCTAACCCACGCCTAACCATTCTCTTGGTTAGGCTCCTATACCAAGCCATTGCTACTAACTCCTAGTCCAACATATCAGGACGTATGTAGCTTTCCCAGCTACCGGCTAACATACTAAACCATATGTTACTGTTGATAGCTCACATACTAAAACGTATGTTGGTGTCAAGAGCTATTTTATTCTTTTCCGGCTAACATATTAAGCCATATGTTCTGTTTTCCTGGTTATAACCCAGCCAGAGCTCCGTGCTTAATGCTGTACATTCCTGTTGATCATACTCTCTCCTCTTGTCTCTGTCGCATTCCCCATTAAAGTAAATTACATTTACTCCAATGTAATGTAATATTCATTTTAAAAACAGAGTCTGCCATTCATTCCAAAGTAATGTAATGTATAGTTAAAACTAAACCTTATTACACCATATGTTCCTCCATCTAAAGAAACTTATGGGGTGAACTACTTTTATTCCAACATAATAGAGGCCCATTTCAACTATAGGTTAATTACATATTACATACTAATTAAACTTCAAATACTGCAGCTCCACTACTCTTGTATAGCGCCCTCAGGGTCCAAGCATTACACATGCACGATCTCTCCCTCATCCCAACTATAATCTGAAATGGATCAAGCGATCCTTGGTTTCCATTTTTCCTGTACACAAACTAAAGCCATAGCATAAAATATCCAGGAAAATAAAATTCCAATAGATTAACCATAATTATTCAATCAAACAATAGATTTAGATGAATCATTGAGAGGCAGACGAGAAGAATAATGAATACGAGTAGAGCCCTCAGGGTCCAAGCCTCTCACATGCACAATCTCTCACTCATCCCAACTATAATCTGAAATGGATTAAGCGATCCTTGGATTCCATTTTTCCTGTACAAAAACTAAAACCATAGCATAAAATATCCAGGAAAATAAAAATTTCAAAAGATCAACCATACTTATTCAATCAAACAATAAATTTGATAAAAAATTGAGAGGCAGACGAGCTGAGTAATGACTACGAATAATTGCATATGGAGCATTCATCCAATCATTCATTTCTTAATTTATCCTTACTTGATCGTTCTATCCACTTGGTGTCTTATTAATGAAATTTTGATTTAAACCAATCGATCAATTTGGTTATTGATTGATTAATTGATCCATTTATTAATTGATCCTTCATTGATATATTCATTGATCTATCCATCAATTTATCTTGATTGATGCATGATTGATTTCTAGGAAGCATCCCGGAGGTCGCGGAAACGCTGGAGGTCAACATCATCACAGGTCAGTCTTCACCAGTATCACAGTGACTCAAAATGTGTCTACTCTCGTGCTTAAATCAATCAATATACTGCCAATTTCTCCTTTAACGCTGTGAACAAGCTTGTTGTAGTTTCGATATGGAGCATTCTCTACCATCATTTCAGTAGGAGCACTATACTAAATCAATATTGAAGTGAGGTCTTACGATTTGTAGTTTTTGCTAATTTCCATTTGGTTATTCCAAAGAGTCTACAAGGAATTTTTAAGAGTTAAATCGGTATTTGTTATTTTGTTAGAGTCATTAAATACGCGCAAAATTTAACGATCTACAACGGACATCTGACGTTATTGCCAGACCGCCAATCACAGATTCTTGTCCCCGGTGTAATTGCATTAATTACTTCCACCGGGAACAGGTCTCTGCCCTGTTGGCTGGTGAATTTGGGAACATTGATTTATATTTTGAACTGAATGCGTCTTGAAATATTCAAGTGATTGATGTATTTAGCTATTTGCTGAATTAGGATATGATAGATTTATTATCTATGTCATGTGATCGGCCGTCTGACACAACAACCAAATGTCATAAGTATAAAAATCTTTAATTTTTAATTGCAGCTTTAATTGTATAGCAGTCCCATCATTGGTGAGGATGCGTATTATTTACTAAAAGAGATTAAAAATGTCAAAAAATAGCTACCTAGATCCAATTGAACACAATCTGTCTGTCCATATGTCTTCCACTGACGGCTGACCATTTCTTGAAAAAGGTATCTACTAGAATATCCAGTGCCAGGCCTCTCTCTAGGTACATAGTTTTGGTCATCTTGCGATCTCCAAGGAACTTCCTTAGTGCATCGACTTCATCCAAAACTCCTTGCTCCTGTAGTATTTGATCCAGGGTTGATGATAGCGGGCTTGGACCTACTTGAATGATGCTTCGTTCATACGCCAAGCTTTTACAGCATAGCGCAATGTGAATTTCATTATTCTTTCCGTTTAAGCACAAAGGGCATAATAATACTCTACCGGATGTCTCAGCTACTGCTTCTGCCGCTCTGTAAGCATCCCTGTTGCCCAGCCCTACATTCATGCATTTAAAGCGGGTCATCACGTTAGAGCATCTACTGTTAGTCAGGAAATTCATCGGTTTCCACCATCTTGTAGGGACCGTGGTGAGCCGAAGAGATACTAGCTTCTGTACAGAGTCTTGGACTTCTAGCTGGTGAATGAGATGAACTTGTTTAATAGTGATATCTTTCAATTCCTGGTCTGCTTCTCTGTACTTAACTAACAAATCCTGTAGGTTAGTTATATAAAGACTTCTCTCATTTCCTTTATGCCATTCCATGCAGGTCTTTACCAGTTGACTGCCTTTGAATTCCGGATCCTCTACACGTTTAAAGAATCTTAATTTAGCTGCTGCTATTTGGAGTCTAATTGGTTTCCACCCCAATTCAGTATATATGATTGTGTTGGCTGATGAGTATGGAATTCTTAGCACTGATTTCCCAAGTTTAGACTGGATCAGTTCTAGCTGTTGAATTATGTGTTCAGATACAGATACAGCTTCTACACCATAAAAAATTGCTGGGAGAGCTACGTTGATCCACAGGGTTGACAAGGCCATGATTCGGTCAATCCCGTCTCTGGTGGTCCGAAGAATAACATCTTCATACATATTTGCTTTTGAAATCATTGTGTCACCTTTATATGACGCCGTCTTGCGATGGGTTGAGAACTGATGGATGCCTAGGTATTTGTATGAAGATACATGTCCTATTATTTCCGATTCTTTGCTAATCCTATCATGAAGCTAGCAAACATAATCTTTATCTGGAGAAATTACGTTTGTCTTGGCTGCAGAGATTGTCATCCGAAAATCTTCACACCACCCTTCCAGAATTCCTCTCAGCTGATCTAACTCTTCCGTTGTCCTGCCAAGAATGATTATGTCATCTGCAAAGAGTAGAATATTCACTATACTGCCATCTGGCAACCGTGCTCCTATACCGCTTGCCCGCATCCGCCTGCTCAGCTCAGAGAGGTAAAGGATGAACAACACACTACTCAAGTTACAACCCTGTTGTAGCCCGCATTTCTGATACTGTGGTGCTGTTCTGATTCCAGTCGCTTCTGTAGAGATGTTGTCCAAGAAATAGTAGCTCTCGAGGAAATTTATGAATGTTTTAGGTATATTAAGCTGGAGTAGCTTCTGTAAGAGTATTCCCCTATCTACGCGATCATACGCCTCCTTGAGGTCTACAAAGAGAAGATGGGATAGAAGTTTTTTACTCTTGTTTATCTCCAGGATTGTGTTCAAGATGAATATATTATCGCTGCAAGATCTTGACGCTCGGAAACCATTCTGTTCTGGGCCGACAATGTCCTCTTTATCCACTGCCCCTGATGGTCGTTTTGCTAGAATCTTGGTTCACAGTTTGGATACGCAGCTTATTAGGGTTATTGGTCTATAATTACTGACATCCGTTTGCGGGGTTTTTTTTAGAACTAGAACTACGTCCCCCACTTTCCAGTCTGGTGGAACCAGCCCGCCCGCCATAATATTGTTGAACATATCTAGAATCATCTTCCTTGCCTGCAATCCGGTGTTTTTCAGCATCTCATTGGTGATCCCATCCTGTCCTTCGGCTTTATCTGATTGCAAGGAGTTTATAGTGTCGTCCAACTCTTTAGGTGTAACAGGTAACATCATTTCATGACTATTCGAATCAGAGAACGTTCTTTCTGGAACACCAAGATTCACTTCTGGGGCATTATCGTACTTCACTTCCTCCTGAACAAAAGTTGTGTTAAATTTCACTTGGAAAAACTGCTCTATTATTGTATTCAGTCTTCTTGGACATGTCACGACTCTCCCACCTTGGATCAATGCTTCTATGCTAGAGTTACCTCTTGGTTTCTTGTTGAGAATAGACCAGAAGAGTTTTTGTGCTCTTTTGGACTTTGAACTCAGAAGTGCCTTCATCCTCTTTTTCTTCCTCAGCGAATCATAGAAATGCTGTTTCCTAGCTTCGTCTGCTAACTCCCTTGCTTTCTTCCTCTGGATTTGGAATGCTGCTGAATACTGATTGTCCATGCGTTTGAGCGTTGCTCTCACTCTTTTCTTTTTCTCCAGGATATATCTTAAACGAGAACTTAAGAAACTTTCCTCTTTCTTGTTTTGATTCCCCGGGCATACCGAGGAACCCACCTTTTTCATCTGATCAACAATGAACCATTCCTGCTCTGTTACCGTCATCTCTTTAAAGGCAGCCTGTCTATTATCTAATCTGTCCTCTAGTATCTGTTTAAAGACGTCCCAATTCTTGATGTACCTTAAGCTATTCTTCGGCTTGATCACCGAGTTGCCGGCTGCGTGTTTCATATTGAATCTCCAGACTAGCGTACTGTGATCTGACTCAATTGCAATGCCTGCTGAAAAATTTGCTTAAATGAGTGAAAATTTAAAAACGGTGTATTTTCCAGGATAAAAATCCGTACAATCTGTACAATTTGAAAACAAATCCGTACAATCCGTACAATCCGTACAATTTTAGGGTTAAAAAAAACCAATCCGTACAATCCGTACATTTTGGCCACCCTGAAGATAGATATTTTGCCTGTTTTCGTACCTTTAATTGCTATTGAATAATTGCATAAAAAATGGAGGTTTAAGATTTAGAGATTTGAGTTAAACAATAAATAAATGTAAGTTCGAAATATCAAAGGTGTACATTTGAAAATTTGAGTTTGTGGCAAAGACTTAATTTCCTACTGAACATTTTTGAACCACGAATAGCCAATAATTATTTTTAATACAGGGAAAGTGAATGATGTTAATTCCTGTAAAGATAAAAAAAAAACTCAAGCATGAAATATTCAGATCAATTTCTCAAAACTAAAATTCGAAAAAAATCTCCCCTGCAAGCTTGTCTCCTAACACTGTCCATATTTTGAATATAATTTAAATTTGTCTCCATGTTACTTTATGCTGTACGATGGTTCATTATAATCATTAATCTAATAAAAGAAGGGAAAAGATAAAGCTTCTCAAAATACAAAAAAATTAATATAAACCTGATCATTTCACAAGACAGGATAGAAACAAAAATTCCCAATTAATGTATTCCGGAAAGCACTTAATTTCTTTAATTTGAAGAAAAAATATTCTTTTACACATTTTATTGGTAACAAAAATTCAATTTTCTTCTCTTTTATCCTTCCTTTTTCTTTTGTGTTTCCTTCTTTTCATTTTTTCATTTTATTCTTTTTTGTCTCAGAAAGTGTGGCCCCTTTTCTGAGGTAAAAGAGTGGGGGACGTGCCCCTGTGTCCCCCCCCTAGCTACAGGTCTGGATTTGCTATTAATCTTACAGCCCCTGTAACCATGCTTTGCACATGATGAAAAAATCATAAAACGAACAAAATGTTTGGTCGGGAAAAATCTGATGTTTAAATCCTACCTAAAGCAACTTCATGAGCATTCTTTAAATGTTTATCATGTTCCTCTAACTCTTCTCTAAACTCCTAGATAAGAAAAGAAAATGAGAACAAAGCTATAATTAAAGTCTCATTTTGCTATTTATCTAATAAAACAAAACAATTTAATTTTAAAAGAACAAATTCAGACACATGATTTTAGAGTATCTTTCCTTTAGAAAAAATTGCG